GTTTACACCTGTAGGCACCTTAGCCGCGTGTGTACCGTTCATGTTCATTCGCGCGACGTTTCATTATGCGGCTTTTCGGATGTCGGCTCTCGTTCGACAGCGACCTTTTGCATTTAGAAATCGTTGTTTGCCGCGTAGACCGAATCGATGTTCGTCGAGGACCGTTTCCGTTGTGAGTCAGTCGCTCGTCTAGAAAGCACACTGCTCCCACACCGTACGAAAACAACGACACTGTGTTTGGTGCGAACATGATTACGAAATTGACCAAATTGCAGAGGGTAACCAAATTGGCCAAGGCATGAAATCATACTGATGGTTCTTCATTTCTACGCTAGGTGGCGCAAGCTAGCGCCCTTTATTAAAGGGTACAGCCGTTAGTTACCATCCATCCATCCGTGATGATAGAATTATTTTGCTGACACGCCTGTGTCAGCAAAATTGCAAAATCAGCAAAATTGCGGGATTTTTAGGGAACCGTTTTTGCACATCCGATGCGGTGCGATGGAACCTCCGGTACGAACTGCGCATGCGCTGTCGCAGAAGGCTCGCGCATGCGCAAATCGCATCAAAGGACCCTTCGTACCGCATCGGAAGTGCAAATACGGTTCCCTAAAACTCCCCAGTGCCTGCGACTGTCTTTTGTGGGATGTAGTAGCGGGGTGACCGCAACATTAAGGGGCGACAAAACTCGTCTGCTCTTTGCCATTCGCAGCTTTCAGCGGTACCGGGGTGTGACACCCGCGCTCAAACTTCATGGATCATTGATGGGGCGCAGCCATTTTGACAGGGCTCTATTTTGGTAGAGGCCAGCGGTGCGCGTCCTTAATATACTTTTGTCATGGCAAACGCCATCAGGCGTTTGCCATGACAGTCTTTGTGGTGTTCCGGAGAACTTCCGGTTCCTAAAAAAGTGAACGAAGCCCACCTTAACACCGCTGCTTAAAATGAAACGTTTATAACCACCATTTCTCTAGGTGAACGGCAAAAAAAAAAAAGCGGCAAAGCGCGAGATGGGTTTGATTTCTTTTTTTTTTTTTTGTCGAATGTTTTTTTGTAAACGAACCAGTGAACAAGACGTTAAAATTGTACAGCCAAAGGCCCTTGTTAAATCTCCTAACTGTGTTGTCGGCCGTAGCATGATAGTGCTTTCTAGCATGTTATAAGCAAGCTCGTCATGCTTGCAAAGGCGGAGCGACCGGAAGTCGCTTGTGACGCGAGCGGCGGTTCATTTTTGCAAACAGTAAAAACGACTTTGGGTGCGGCGGCTACTTTCCACACGAGGAGCTCCTTCCCCACAAACGTCTACAGTGCAGACATTTGTGAGGAAGGAGCTCACGTTCTGGTTGGAATGATTAGTCGGTGGGCTGCGGAACGGCCGGCAGCGGAGACAAAGAGACAAAGGCTGCTAGCTCGGCATCTACCCGCCATAGTCAGGTAAAGGTTAAGAAATGTTTTTGAGAGAAAGAAGGGTTAGGGAGGAGGAAGCGAGCGGATTGCCGGATAAGAGAGGAGGAGCCTCCTCCCCTCTCCAGCGTTCTGCCTAGAGAGGGGAGGAGGTTCCTCCTTTCCCCCAGTGTCTGCCCGCACAGCTCAGCAGAATGCTTTGTTTGTACGTGAACCCGCGCTTAGAGGGGCGCCTTCCAAAGCCACGCGCTCGCGTCTGTGCCTTTGTTAGCACTGTAGATGTTCGTAAGATGGAGTATAAAAAGTAACTATAAAAATTTAGCGTCAGCTCGTTTCGCGACATTTTCAAGGTTAGGGTGCCTCAATGTCTTTCCGCTTAGGTTGATGACATTCTTTCCTGATGCCGACCAACGCCTCGTACATAAGAGCAAGGCCTAAGAGCTGAATGTCTGACGTCACCTATACAAGAGGCCAACGCGGGGCAGGGATTGGACGCGCGTGCTGCGTCAGCATTCGGCTAGGACTCAGTCAGTGAGGGCACGAGTCTCAACCAAACACTGACGTCAGAGCACTCGTGTCCAATCCGTGCTTCAAGTTGGCTTCTTTAGGGGACGTTTCCGGGGCAACGTCACCTATACTAGATCTCAGAAGCTGTGTGCAGCAAAGGTCAGAGGCGCTGGCACATGGCTTTCAGATTTGCTTTCCTGTCGCGAGTGCTCGTAAAAAAAAAAAAGGCAAATCTGAAAGCCACGCGCTCGCGCCTGTGCTATTGCCTCTGCTGCGCGAAAGTAGGTAATGCGATGGATTATAAAGAGGCGAACGCGATGCTGGTCATTCTAGGCACGAAAAGGCGCCAAGACTTCTAGGAAGATAGTTAACCGACTTTAATCCATATTTCGTTTCAGCTTTAGTCCAGACGTAGTCGACGCTACGAGCTAATGGGACCAATCAAGCAGCGTCAAAAGCGCAAGTCACTAGGCCTTTTTAGTTCATGATTGGTTCAGCCTTAGCCTCCTATATGCTGACAAAGCCTGGCAGATCGCCGCAAGAAGCGGCCGCCGAAATGGAAAAGGCGGAGCGGCAGACGACGGATAAGAGGAGAGCCACGTGACTGGTGCCCCGCTGCGGCGAGACGCCGAAACACGTTTCTCCCGAGCGAACAAGTGTGTTTCGGGTCCTCGCGGCTGCAAAAGCTGTGCGCTGACGTCCAGGTTCGCCGAGAAATGGCTCTTTGATGCTCTGTGCTACCAGATCCTCGCGCTCCAAATCTGCGACCGGGCACTTTATGGTTCCGTCGTCGAACTGCCAGGCTTCGTGAGTATAGAGGAGGGTATGGTTTAGCGATATGATATAGAACACGCACAGAGACATGAACACCCAGATGGTGCGCTTTTGACGCTGTCTGATTGGCACCATCAGCACATCGACGTGGTGCGTCTGGTCTTACAAAGTATAGTAACGTTGGTCGGCACTAACGTTACTATAGTCGGATGCAACCTAAGAACAATCTTTTAGCTCCACCCACAAGCGCATTGCGCCCATCTGAAGTGCCTCCGCCGTCGAGAAAGTAGTTCGCTAGCAACGTTGCTTTTTCTTCCTCCAGGAAACGTGTCTTAAACTTCTACAATATTTATTTAATTCATTCAGGACATTTAAATAAGTTAGAACACGTTTTTTTGTCAACGAAATAGCTGTTTAGTAAAGAAAGAAAGTCATGTTCAATGTACCGTCTTCCCAATTCATTTTCTGTCCAAGATACTGTCTAACATACCGTCTAACATACCTCTCAGCAGTGCTAAGCCTCGCGCCCGCTTCGAAATTTTCGTTGGCGATAGCGTCGCTGGATTCTCACGTTGTCGCGCAAAAACTGCTGCAAACGCAAGCCGATACCATTAAGATTTCGTGGCGTAACCACGGGCACGTAAAACACGGTGCAAAAAAGCAGAATAATTGTCACGAGAACCTAGCGTCGCGTTGCTAAGGCCAGCAGCCATGTTGAGCTTTTTTTTTTCTTCAAAAGGATCGCGATTGGTCCACGGAATCGTGACGTCATGAAAACGATTGGCTGGCGTTTCTCGGCGTAGGATTACATTTTCCTCTGAGAGGCATTTCCGGTTTTTTCTTAGCTTGCAACCGACTATAGACCAGCCACTTTACAACTAGCTTGCTAACGCTTAACGCCTTTTTGGGGCGCCAGGCGAATTAGGAAGCTAGAACGTTTTACTGGTGGAACCGGTGGAACGTCGTAGTACGGGTTCTTTCGCTCGGTCACCTTGTGCCGTCCGGGTCGCCATGTCCGGATGGGGTGACGGACTTCGGAAGCTGGGCGGGTCTTGCCGGAGACGAAGTTGCTTCCCTTGGCCGTCGACGACTAATTCGGTGGAACTTGGGAATTACTTTTCAAGAAACAATTTAATACTTTGTAGCGAATGGAAATACAGAGGGAGATAATGCTGCGAAATGATAACTTCCCTTGGACGGGGTTGGGAAGGAGGTGGTCGGGTGTTAGCTTCTCCAAGCTCGGGGGTTGGCTGGCTTGTGGGATTACGTCCCGATTACGGGGACAAAAGTCCCTCGGAATCCCTCGACCTGACTCAGTTCCGGAGCGATAGCTCTCGAGCCCCAGCACAAGCTAAACTCACTTGCTGAGTTTCCCATCAGAGTCACTCGTTGGTCCGTCCCCTTTTAGTGGACCGGCGAATCCTCGACGCGTCGTGAGACAGGCGTTCCCCACTGCCAACCAATCGGCTCACTTTCTCGCCACGTGGCAACTGCTTATATTCCTGGGTGGGAACCCACGGTCTGCGCACATCTCACGGTCAAAGGTCTGGCTGGTTCGGATGCAAGCAAAACAATTTCTCGCAAGGCGAAGGCGACAACCGACCCCGGTGTGGATAGCGCCAACCAAGTGAGCCATCTCGTAATTCATTCTGCAAGACGCGGTCTGACGTCGCCGTTCTGTCGCGACCCCCTACACTCGGGCGAGAAAGACTAAACCGATGTAAACGCGCCGTGTAAACAGCGCCGGCCGGAGCCACTGCATGCGTTCTCCCGGCCCGGAACGCACGCTCCTATTCTTTCGGCAGAAAACGCGCGTTCCGAACCTCGCGTCGTAAAGTACGCCTGTCCCTCGAGGTCGCCGGCCACTGGCAGTGTTTACACCAACGCTTTCCCCCCAGCCAAATCTCCCTGGTGCTAGAGGCTCACCCGCGGAGCCCTCGTCGGTCATTGCAGTCGTATATGCACATTGCCTGTTGTGGAAGCGGATTTATTATGTTTTCTACGCTAAACGTAAATTTTGCGCTGAAATTTGCGCAAGAAGAGTGTCGTTCGAAAACGGTCTTTTTCTCGTTGCCCGTGGAAGCTTTTCCTGCTAGTGGCGCTAGGAACGTTATCCGCCTTCCGCTTGTACTTGTTCGCGTGCTGACAACAAAGAAGAACTGTTTTCGAACGACGCTGTTCCATGGAGTCTCTCAACTGAGACATCTAAGAAGGTTCGTTTCAAGGGCCACTCATTTCAGTGTAGCACCTCCATTTGCTTCCAAGGGCCGCTCGGGACACGGGCCTCGCGCATCGGCGTATTTTGACGCTTCTTGTAATACCAACGCAAACACGTCAAAGGACTTTACTTCAAGACTTCCAAGGGTACGCGTTTCGGGAAGATCTCTTCCGAACCAGTCAGCCACCTGTGCTGTCACATGGTTTCGGCATGGAAGAATACAGTTCGCAGTACAGTCGTGGAGCACAGAGTTCTGTTATACGCATAACGAACGCGGATAATAAATAATGACGGTACAGTTGGCGCGTGCGTGCTTTGTGCTTCGTGGTAGCCGATGATGTGTTGTGCACAGTCGGTGGAGGTTCGTCTTCAGTCTTGTCTCGCCAGCTACGATCGCCGACATGGTGGGGGACCGGTATTCAAGCGGCGCATGCCCAGTCACGTCTTTACCGTCAGCTGTCTATCACACTGTGGCGCAGACAAGGACTTGGATTCCTGATGATGTGAGAAGTTCACGAGGAGGATTCTAACCTGCTTTCTCTAGTTGTGGTTGATGAAGTTCCGAAACTGTGGTTTCTGCCGGTGACCACATTCTTTCCTCGTTGTGTGCATAGTGTAGTGTCGATGCAAAGGAAGCTAAGATGACGATGATGTACTTTGTCGGTACATCTGCATACAGCTGAAGCAAGTGCTATAGCTATGTGATGATACAAATGGCGACTTTATGGAAGCACGGACGACATCATTGCTGTCCAGGGTGCTTTGCTTGTGGCCACCCAGTGGACATAAGAGCTCTCCACAATCCACAAGTCGCACCGAAAATTGCATTGATCGTTGTCTTGCACCAAGTAGAGGGGAAGGGCCATGGTATATTTGTTATGGCATCACGACTTCACATGCACAATTTCATGTTCGTGTTCATCATTGTCCACTATGTTGCCAGATGATGGGTAAACTAAAAAAAAAAAAAGAACAACAAAAAACGTCCTCAAGGGCGCGCTCCTGATAAATAACTGAAGTGAAAAGTCTGGACCACACGCGTAGCACTAATTCTTCTGCTACCTTGATGGTCACGATCGAGCGCACAAAGTGTGCGTAGTATGTCGTTAGGAGCTTATACACCATACGTCATCACGTCGCTACCAGGGGAAAAGAAAAAGCTAGGGGAACGACGTTGAAAAGTCTTCATGGCTTAGCGTTGGTGCCAATTGTAACCTTCTTGTTGGAGACGGTCCGTGAGTATGGGCACAGTCCTGAATCGCCGTCAGCATGCATATTGTCCTGTTTCTGTCCAACTTGGCATAGAAGGAGGAAGGGCTAAAGTGGCGTGACGTCACTCCGCGGCGCATGCGTAGTTCCGCGCTTGTCCCCGATTGGTGAAACGCAGCGATTCTTGCTCGCCGAGGACATGTGGCGTTGAATTTTGTGTTCGTTGAAACAGCTTCGGCTCAGAGCATCACTGGGGTGTGTGAGCCGGGAACGGAGCCGCCGTGGCTTGGGCGTCGAAGATAAGCTTGAGTATTTGGAGCTTGAGGCCCCCCACGACCTCTTCGTCTGCGATCCGACGTAGCTCGGTTCCGATGTAACTTGTGAACGAGTCAATGTGGTCGCCCCTGGAATGAAGAGACAGCATGGGAATTAAACGCCGGTTCAGTTTTATTTTCTTCAAAAATTCAGCTGGCGTTTGAAAGTCAGAAGCACGGCCAGAATTCACATTATAATTTTGACCAGACTGTCGCAGTCTCCTTCACAAGTGTGAAACGTGGCAGTTATAAATGTGGGAGAGGTTTTGGCGCCGCCATTTTGTGCTTTGTACTGTGAGGTCGCGGTTCGGATTTCTTTAGTTCAAAGGAATAATAGTAACACACACCTAAACACGCACAAACACACACGCACATTCAAAGGAAGGTTGTGGACAGCCATTCTTTTTCAGTTACAAGCAGCGCATTTTGTGTTTTCTTGTTTTTCAAGTTTAAATAGTCATTTTTATAGCCCAATTTTGTCTCGGTGCTTATGATTCCCGGCTACGAGTTATCGGATGACAGCTTGGGCGGTCTGTGGCACGATGAGATATTGCTGGTTATCGCGTGTTCAACAGAAACCCAACCGGACTTGTAAATTGAAAAAAAAAAAAAAAAAACGAATTTATTACATTTTTTTTTTTTTTCAATACGAGCATTTTGTTTTGGCGATATGAGTCGGACGATTTCATAAACGATGCTTTGTTAGTTCATGGAATGATACAAGCGTTTTCTTCCTTCGACTGCTCTGTCTTGACCGTCGTAACTTGCATCTTTAGGCTGTTATACCCGATCAACGTAATACACTAGAAAAACTGTCAGTATCGATGAATCGGTGAATTAATGAATGCTCTGAGCGGGCACGCAGTGACTTCCATTGCCGAAAGCAGACGATGTGCTGAAGACGCAATTTGGTTAGTTCTGAACTCATCGTGATCGACCGTCAACAGCATCGTGCCAGATAGCGTATTTCGTTTGCTGCAGAGACCAAATTTCTGTATCCGTACTTGAAGGCATACGAAGTTAACGTATCCGCACTGAAGGTATCTGCAATTCACAACTTCAGCGGAGACGACGCCACCTAGCGGGAAGGATGTAATGGAGAGGAGCGGGAAGTCAACGCTAATGTGTTCGGCGAAAAGTGGCTCCGCCTGGCGGTTGAAACGCGATTCGAGTTGCCATGCGTACCTGGGAAGGTCGGCGTATCTCTCGGCCTGGAACGGGTACGACATCCTGTAGTCCTGGTGGCTGTACTCGTCCTCGATCTGAAGGCGAAGGTTACCGTGAATATCGCAAAATGCAACGCCCCGACGCAGACTTCAAACAATTTCAGTCAGAAATTTTAGATCCCGAGTCTACGAGCATCCCAGAGATGGCGGCCCGTACTCAGGATATTCTGGACGGGCTTACTAGAAACAGCGTCTCAGCCGATATCGTGCGGAAGAAAGCATGCCAAGCACGTTCCACTCAGCTCGTGCTCCAACTTTGGCAGTGCCTTCCTTTATACAATTAATTTTAGCTAAAACTATTTCTTCAAAAGGATAAAGAAAAATATCTCGTTGATTATAGGAATCGGGTCAAGCATAGACGTTTTGTGAATTTAAAGGCTTGTCAACGAGTTATACGTAACTTGGCATGGGGAAGTTTTTCGACAGATTGCGAGAAGTTTCGGAACATTTCGTCCCTCCGTTGCTCCGCGTGCAAGACCGCGCTAATCTTGATCGAATAAATCGCGAACTTTCGGTTCTCTCGGTTTACTAGCGGGTCTTGCACCTCGATAGCTCAGCTCTCCTGCGCTGAGCGAAGAGAGAGGCATACGTTGTTGCGCTCTAGTCACGTAAATTCTTGCGGCGTTTTGTTAAACGTGAAAATTTGGGTTTCCATATGTGCGTGCTGGGAAATTTGACACACGACCTTCGTATTCCCAACCGCTTTCTTTTTCTTTTCTTTTTAACTACGGCAAACGGAAAGTTTCCTCTTAAAATTGGCGGAGCGGGGGATTCGGTGATTACGTTAACAGACGGCGGTACTTGGAAGGGCTCTGACAGATCAAATTCATTTTTTTAGAGCGCAGTTCTTAGGCGCCCGTTTCCGGGTTGAGCGGCGTCGGCGTAAGCGCGCGTTGCATTATGGGAGGATAAAAAGCCAGGAGGTTACATCATTCGCGGACTTCGATTTTCGATGTTTCAAAAAGAAAAGACCGTGTGCGTCCGCAACTGCGTTAAAAAAAAAAAAAACACATAAATGTCGCGTACAAAGCTTCACAGTTTCACTGTCGGTTACGTCAGAGATAAAAAAGAAGCGAACAGGTGAAAAAAAAATAAAAGGAGAGGAATAGCAGAAAAAAAAAGCGCGATTTCTTGTTTTGCGTTTTTTTTTTGCGTGTCTATCGTTACAACTTGCATCGTTTTAGACATAAACAAATAAAAACGACCTTTAGAGGTGTCAGTGCCCCTTTAAGGACAGCAAGCTATATATAACGACGCATTTGACGTCAGCACGTTAGCAGACGCGAACAGTTTGAGTGAGGGTTTCTCCTGTTGCGTCACGACCCTAAAAAGAACGCCGAATGATAGCACGACGATAGTCAACAAGACCAAATGTTTACGCACATAACAAAACCTTACATACTAACGACAGTTGTTACGTGGCGTCATAACCCTAAAGCCGCCGTCACACTGCGTCATACAAAAGACAGTTCAGAGATAATTCCGTCACCATGTCCGCGGAGAAACTCCGCGGACTTTTTATGACGTACGAGCAGTCTGACTGCGACTTTCAGGACGACGAATGATAGCGGACGGTAGTCAGCCCGAGTGAGGCTTTGTTCTGTTTGCGTTGTGACTCTAGATGACAACTACTAATGGCGGAGGACGGACGATCATCCGAACAAGGTGTAATTGGTCTCACCTGGATGGTCCTTCTCTCGCTGGAGGAAGGTTCCTCGAGAGTCACCTCTGGCGACAGGACGAGCGAGTTACTGGACTGGGACAGTTCCAGGTCCTCGGTGTCTCCGGCGTCGGTCGCCACAAGTGCCGCGTTGTCGTCCTGCGGGCAGTCGTCTTTGGGCGCCTCGAAGTCCACACCCAGCTCGCCTGCAGGGGGTGCAGGTTCGTGGCCGGGGGCTACGGCGCTGCATGACGCGGCCATTTTGAGTCCTTCCTGGAAGACTCGCGTTGGCACAGGACCGGGCTGTGAAAAGAAACGGAGTCAGTGGAAACTGTCGGCATTGCCAGGAAGCGCTTCGCATTTGGTGACTTCGATCGAGCTTAAAGACCGACGACCAGTTCGCGCGTTCCACTTTTCCCCCGGTTCCTCCTCTCCCCTTCTACCCTGTCCACCGTTGCCTGTTTCCTCCTCCCGCATGGTGACGAGGATCTTCTGCCTTGCAGAATCTCGAGTGTGGTCGTCGACCTTTAACTTTCACACAAAGGGAGCAGGTCGGTGACGGTCTGTCTTGGGGCGGAATCTATGCGTACTTGCTGGCCCAATCAGCTGTTGTTCTCGAGTCACGTGATCGTGATTTTTACCTTCGGACATCATTTCCTCAGACATCAGAGTAACCCTCGGACATCACTTCGATATTTGCGTTACTGCGTCCTACAGGCTGCCTCCGCAACGGTACAGTATGTCATACACCGCGGTTATAGGCACCACGAAAGGCTCGTTCACACATTTGCGTTTGAGTGCGATCGAGTTTGTTGCAGCAAACTGGCGCCATCTATGAAGTGACCCTAGAACTCTTCTGATCTGGGTATAACGAGACTGAAGGTTTTTCACTATTTGCGACACCAAATCTACGCAGTATCTATTACAAATGGTCGCTAATACCATTGTCAGAATTTTTTCAAGCAAATGGTGAAAGAATGATGCGTAAAATATACGCAGATCGGAAGTATTCCCGGGACACCCGAGAGATGGCGCCAGTCTGTTCTGTTGTCGTAAGGTGTCACATGCGTTCGTAACGCGCTTGATCACGTCCGAACGCAAAGCGACTTTATCTCAGCAACACTGGCACTTTGGTTGACCGATCCACTCGCGTCATCACACGGACTGCCCTTACGTGGCGGAAGGCCGATGACTGATTTGTCTCTCCGGTACACATCAATTTTGATTTGGCAAATGTTCTCTATGGTCTATAATGTCTCGGTGCAAGACCGATGACTGATTTGTCTGGCAAGTATACACATCAACTTTTATTCGGCAAATGTTCTCTATGGTCCACGATGCCTCGGTGTAAGACCGATGATATGTCTGGCAGGCAGAGGTCGGCATTTTAGGTCGCCCTCACTCACCCTCACCCTCACAGCCACACTCACCTAAGCCCCTCACTCACCCTCACCCTCACAACTACACTCACCTTGAGCCCCTCACTCACCCTCACCCTCACAGTCACAATCACCTTCAGCCCTTCACTCACCCTCACTGAACCTCACGCACTCACCGCCCTCACGCCCCTCACGGCCCTCACGGCCCTCACGCCCCTCACCGCGCTCACAGCCCTCACGCCTCTCACTCACTCATGGCCCTCACGAAACTCACCGCCCTCACGCCACTCACCGCCCTCACGGCCCTCACCGCCCTCACGGCCCTCACCGCCCTCACGGCCCTCACGCACTCATAGCCCTCACGCCACTCACCGCCCTCACGGCCCTCACGGCCGTCACGGCCCTCACGGCCCTCACCGCCCTCACGGCCCTCACGCCACTCACCGGCGTCACCGCCCTCACGCCACTCACCGCTTATTAAGAATACTAATGCACCTTTCTGAAACAGTTTATTTACAAAAAAACGATCGATTTCAAACCAGAACCAAGTCTTTCGGTGTCATCATCACCGGCACGAGGTATCACGTGAAAATTTTGCGTCCCTGATTGGATGCAGCCGCTTCAAACGTATTCGAATTGCTCCGAGTTGCTGGCTTATTTCGAGCCGGACCCGATCTCAGCAATTCGTGTCGATCTAGGGAAAGCTAGAGAACAACCCGTCATTAACAACAAAATTGCTGAGAAAGATGCTCGATCTGAAGGGGGCCTCACGCACTCACCGCCCTCACGCACTCATGGCCCTCACACCACCTTATGCACTCGCCGCCCTCACGGCCCTCACGCCTCTCATGCCACTCACTGCTCTCACGCACTCATGGCCCTCACACCCCTCACGCACTCACCACCCTCACACCACTCACGCGCTCATGGCCCTCACGCCACTCACCGCCCTCACGCCCCTCACGCACACACGGCCCTCATACCCCTTACCGCCCTCACCACCCTCATGGCCCTCACGGCCCTCACGGCCCTCACGGCCCTCACCGCCCTCACGGCCCTCACCGCCCTCATGGCCCTCACGGCCCTCACCGCCCTCAAAGCCCTCACGGCCCTCACCGCCCTCACAGCCCTCACCGCGCTCACCGCCCTTACAGCCCTCACAGCCCTCACCGCCCTCACAGCCCTCACGGCCCTCACTCACCCTCACACTCATGAATTTTCCTGGGTCAGAAACTCACTCACCCTCACCTCACCTGTGAGGATGAGGGTGAGTGAGGGTGAGTGAGGGCCCTCATGAGTGAGGTTTGCCGAGGTATGCTGGCAGGTACACATAAACTTTGATTCGGCAAATGTTTTCTATGGCCCATGATGTCTCGGTGTAAGACCGATGACTGATTTGTCTGGCAAGTATACACATCAACTTTGATACGGCAAATGTTATCTATGGTGCGTGATGTTTCGGTACAAGGTTAAGCGGATTCACATCGGCTTATTTGCTAAGTTCTTGACGTGTCGTACCTGGCCTTGCTGACCCATGCCCAGGTGGATGGGCGCCCTGGGCTTTCTTGGCAGCACGACGTCCTTGAGGAAGGTGAGGGACTTGTAGAAGGCCCACTTGGTCCGATAGGGCCTCTCGGCATCCCGGCTCCGGTCCATCTTCTGCCACTCGTTGGTGAACTGGTTGCGCAGGTTGATGAGCTTTTTGCGCACCGCCTCCACCGGGTAGCCGGTCTCTCGCGAGAACTGGGACAGGGCACGCTCCTTGGCCGCCTGCAGGACACCGGGTCGGCCATTTCATTGGTCGTCGCGAAGTTACACGTTTGGCCATCGAGTAATCAGATCGTTACGTATCGTTTACGTATATAGTCGGTTACAGGTTAAAAAGGTAGCGGCAAATGCCCCTCAAAGGGTATAATATATCCCTCCGCCACCTCCGTATCCAATAGCGTCCCATCATTTCCGTGACGTCGCGGTGAACGCGCGAGGAGGGTCTTGCCTTTTGTACATGTTTGCTTTGTCTTTCGACTTTGACTTAGCATTGTTGAAGCCACGAGAGGGAGATTAGTTTTCCCCTAGAGGGGATATAGAGACTTTTTAGTGTTGTGTCGTTTACCCGCAGTCTCGGGCTTTTTTCAACCCTAGTTTTTCCCCCTCCGATGGAAACAAACACGCCTTTCGGGGATTAGCTTCCCCCTCCGATGGATACAAAGGCTGCTTTCAGGGGCTCGGTTCCCCCTCCAATGAATACAAAGGTCGCTTTCTTAAAAAGTGGGATCGGAGACAAGTGGGAATCCATTGAAGCGGAACAAGGAGCGTTTCCAGTGAACTCTTCTTTCGACTGCGGAGAGATTTGAAATGGGCGCATCACGCTTGTGGGAGGAGCTTCTCCTACCTCCTTAACTTGTAACCGACTTTAGCCTCAAACAGTGTGAACGACCCAGTCAATGAGGCAGTTGCAGGCGCCAGTGCAGAACTGAATGAATTAATATTAGTTTTATTCCCTCTCTCAAAAGTAAGTGCCTCTGGCGAACGTGCACTTGGCAGTGCCGCATATAAACTGCCTCGGCGAATGGGACTTTCGTGTTGTGGAAGACATTACGCTGTTTTGTGAAGAGTATGAACCAGCTGCGCGGGTGGCTCAGCGGTTAGCGTGTGCATTTGTAATCATGGTAACGTGGAAATTGGTACGTGATTATGCACCGATTTCAGCGGCCTCTATCGTATGATCGCTAATTTAGGGGTTGCCCTCCCTCCCTAAACATAGCGGGAAAAACGCGTCTCTCAATTTAGGAGGAAAGGTCGAAGGTGACGTAACTACCTAAGCTGCGGGCCATGAACATAATCTACGGTAATGCGATTACGCGTGATGCGCGGAGCGGGTCAGTCGACGTCATAAACGAATTAAGAAATCGCCGAAACCGAGAGGTTCACGCTGTTGAAGACAATTAAGCGGAAGAATAAAACGTTCACGGATGTGGCACCAATTAGCATCGGCACCTACTTGAACTAAGTACGATTGCGACGAACTGAGAAAAAAAGATCATTTGCTCTTCATTATCGGGAAACGTGCTCAGGAACAAGAAAAGGACCCAAGAACTTTTAAAAAAAAGGGGCAAAGGCCGACGATACATATTAAGCGGAGTGAAATGGTGAAATTTGCAGAGAAACGAACTAGAATGACAGCCACATAAAAATACGCCGCGGAAACGGAGTCAGGAATTTAGTCCTTCAGCCCCGGTCGAAGAGCGTGCATTTTAATTAATTCTTAATCCCGAAGGCGTATGTTTGCAGAGGAGAATGGGTATTTTCTTTTAGGCTTTACTATAGCCTGAGGACTTCAGACCTATCAGTCACTTGTTACGAGCTTTTAAAAGAGCTCGTGACATTAAAGAAAGGAATAAAAAAAAAATATTTCCCGCGACTAAAGCGGGAAGCAGATGCGAGCAAACACCGAGCGTGGCCGAGCGGCGTAGCCATAGCAACCGCCGCCGGATCAAACCGAGTTGGACATTTTCTCGCCGTGGAGTGACGCGATGAGAGACGAAAGAACATGGCGCCCATTTGTTTACAAACCGAGGGGGGGGGGGGGGGGGTTATTTGGCCTTTGTGCAGCTGTTGCCTTTTAGAAGGTGAGCTACATGGTACTGTGAGTGAGGAATGTGATTGTGTTACGACGAGGTAGAGGGGCCTAGAGCTTACAAGAATGGACAGTTGAGCTGATTGGTAAACGTTCATAAAAAAAAAAAAAAAAAAAAAAAAAAAAAAAAAAAAACAGCGCGAAACACAGGGACACGTAGGAGAGAAAAACATACAGGACAAGGCGCTGAGTATCAACTTTCTTATTTTGAAAACACGCAGGTGTGAGGTCTTTTTTTTTTTTTCTTTCACTGTAATGTCGCTTCTTTTGTTTATTATTTTTTTTTGTTTGTGGGGTCGTTTTTTTACTGCTCCTGAGGCCTCAGGGACAGTGAGATGGCCTTTTTGGACTTTGGATAACGTCTGATACGAAGAAAACGAAAAAGAGGCGACCCCACAGTGAAAGAAACGACACCAAAGTGAAAGAAAAAGCCCCCGTACCCGCGTGTTTTCAAAATAGGGAAGTTGATAGTCAGCGCCTTGGCCCTGTATGTGTTTCGCGCTGTTTTTTTATCATGAAGTGCTTAGAGCGATAAACTGGTATCCCGTTCACCAGGCAAAAGTGACACCACTTGGCTGCCGCCATGTTGTACAATTTGGACCTCTAGACACGTGACCGTACCAAACGATGAGGCTTTTAAGCAAAACTGAGCCGAGATGTGTATTGCGGTCGCTTTAAACACAGGATAAACTCTTTTTTTTTTTTTTTTTCAATATTGTTAGCCTTAAAGATCAGTGTCTAGCTCCGATAAAAACCCAAAATGCAGCACCGCGGCTGATGGCCTGCATCTAGAGGAGGCATTGCGAAGCTGCTCGAGTTTTTGTCGCATAAAAGCACATTTGGGACTTAAAACAAACGAAACATAACTTATCTCGTCGGTGCGGTTATTAAAGATCAATAGGCAATTATTTGTGCGCGGTGCTTCATTTAAATCTAGACGTGAAACTATACGGTCACGTGTCTAGTGGTCAAAAATATGCAATATGGCGGCGGCCAATCGGGGTTCACTTTCAGCTGCCAGTTTATCGCTCAAAGGCCCTCTATACCTCGTTGTTGTCTTAAGGCATCAACCTAGGGAGCCTTCATGTGCGCTTTGCTAGGGTGATGCCACCCTTTGTAATACCACTCGCCGACAAACCGGCAGCCATTTTGTTCCTCGGCGATAATCCGTGGGGCTTCTAACCCTCCCGGAAACAAGCACCTTATCTCAGAAGTTCGGAGCAGCGTTGTGGAACCCACGGAGGGGGAGGATTAGCATTTTCCCCCTCGGATGGGATTACCGATGGACACAAAGGCCACTTTCCGGCGCACGGGGAAACAATGAGAGAAACAAAATGGCGATGGAAGAGGGTGTGGGAAAGGGAAACAGGCAGTTGGCATCACTCTATGCGAAGCGCACATGAAGGCACTCTACATCAACCACGGCCGGACTACTGAGGACTGGCGTCCTGCCTTGGGTGCGCCCCTTGACTTAATGTATCTCTCTAATCGCCAGTAAATTTTTGCGAGCTCGTGGAACGGGTCAGTATGGCGAGCAGTTCACCGTTCAACCGTAAAGAATTGCTTGGTTTATGTGCCCCTGGATTGTCGAATGCTTTGTTTTAAGTAGTTGCACGATGAAGCTTCATGCACGCTCTTGTCTATGCAAGCTGTCACAAAGGGATGAAACAAAAATAATTCGCTTCATTGACGAGCTAGGAATCACAAGCTCTTGTTATAACAGCTCAGTTTTACATGTATACACTCGATTAACTAGCTATCGATTTTGCTTCTTCCATTTTACGTGGATCATCGAAGCGTCACATTCGAAACTAAAAAGAAATACTTGCACGGCCTGAAAATGGACTTGTATATAATCTGGGGATGTACAGTCTGGGACAACATTTTTCCGGACCCCGGGAATGGTGGCTGATATGCCGCACGCCCTCCGATGGCGCGACACCTGCTGTCGAGACCGGCAGTTGGCGCGTGTGCGTCCTTCCATACTCGCTGGGATGCCGATTCTTTCGTTTCCGGCGGAAAAGAAGTATTCGCCGACCTTGGAAGCGGCGGCTCGCGCCCGATGCTCATGAAAGGCATGTCGCGTCGAGAATATTGCGCAATATTGTAAAATGCCAGGAGCCGAGTCGTTCAAGCTTTCTGATGCTGAATAATCGTTCACTTTGACCTTTGCGAAATCGCAAGAGTTGGATATTATACTCGATAAAGACAAAGTGCTTTTGCCAATTGTTGAAAGGCGTTCTTGAGAACGAAAGGCCGGTAGCACGGCCGAAGCTCCATGAGTGGCAATGTTGCCTCCTTCACATTGGTGGTTGAACCGCATTTGCGTCATCAAATCGACTTATTTGCGTGGATTTGATGACGAAAACGAGCGAACCCGCTTCGCGGCTGCGATGTGTGAAACCAGCATAAAAGAAGAGTGGGAAACTCTCTGCACGACCCTAGTTGGCGATGTCCTTTTACGAGTCCCTAAGTCAGCTAACGGAAGCAAATGCTTTATGCATTTTTTAATGTGAATAAATAAAGCAATTTTGGGGTCGGAGTCGGGAGAAGAGAGTTGCCGCAAAATGCGGCGCGGAGATCGGCGAATCCTCCTGTCCGCTGATTGACAGGCGCCGCCTGCCAGGCCAGCCGGCCAGCGCGGCTTAATAAGGCGTGTGGATGCTTCCGACGCGGCGCCACGCGGCAAGTTATCGAGAATCGCAGCGCGGCTGCCGGAAACGAAAGAATCGGCATCCCTGCGAGTGTGCATGGAAGGACGAGCACGCGCTGTAGGGGCCGCGGTTTCGACAGCAGGCGCCGCGCCATCAGAGGGCGTTGCAATGCATATCGGACACCGCTCCAGTGGTCTGGAAACTTTTGTCCCCGACTCTAAAAGAGCTGCCTCTTCAGCTGGAGCCTGTCACGGACCTTGTCGCTGTAGTCTCTGTGGGAGTGGTCCCAAAGGCACGGCGTGGTGCGGTAGAACTTGACCAGGTAGCAGGTGACGTTGTGAGGCCAGTGGATCTTCTGGCTCACGCAAAGGCCCAGGGCGTCGCTGGAGGACATGCTTTCCGTCTGCAATGGACGAACAAGGGCGATAATAGCGCTCTCTCACGCCTCTTTGCACCAGTTCGAGGCCTTGAAGGGGACAGCTTCACTGCCGAACACTCAATGCCGCCTGCTCTGGAGTGATATTTGTCTATATGGTCAGGATGTGGGCGCAGCAGTACGTCTCTCTTCAGTATCCACCCACCCCGACCCCTTCGCTGCGCAGTCTTGTACTACGCGTTGTTAAAAAAGAATGTATTGGATTGCAATTACTTTTGCTTAAATGATGTTTTTAATGAGATTACATGATTACTTTTAAAAAAAGTACTTGGCCGCTTTTTTTTTTTTGTAAGCAATGTTGATATTTTGCTATTACTTAGTATTTTAATGTGCCATATGGAACTGTAAGAGAGCAGGGGGCTCCGTGAAGCCGTTAAACAGCTTATTCCCCCTGATTTTTTCATTCCTGTATTGAAGGGGGAATAAACTTTATTAGCATTACTACTTGGAAAGGTAACCGTTATTGTTCGAATGCTAAAGATTTTACGCACACAAAAAAAAAAAAAAAAAAAAAAAAACGAGTTGTTTTTTTGTCGGGTTTAAAACGGGCCTTTTGTACCGTCCATTATTGGACTAGGATCACCGAATTATAAGATATCTATACCATCCTCCTGTCAAAAACTTGGTTCGAGGATTTTCTTGATAGGAAACAAAGAAACAAGGGATGCCATGAGAAAGGGGGAAGAAAAAATAGCAAATGTAGGTAAGTTAAGTAAGCTAAGAACAAAGGAAAATGTCGAATAAGCTAAAAACAAAAGAAGGTGTCCTGGCGGAGTTGCCGAACTGGTACAACCTACGATAGCCATCCATATACAACACCAAGAACAAGAGGCCCGATCTTTGTAACATTTAACCAGAGATAGAATTTGGAGCAAAATATGAAGAAGTGCCAACGTTTCTCGACCGTAGATGACGCAAGCTACCGCCCGATACAAAGGGTTTATAGCCAGTACCATCCATTAAAACGGACTTCCCGCACCACGGCAGAATTAGAGCAATTCAACAGAAAAGGAGGGCTCTAAGCGGTTCAAGGTATGGGAATGTGGAAAGACTCCGCACACAGGACCTCTGGAAACAAAAGCATTGAAAATAAAACCTGGCTACTCATAAACCGGATAGCAAACCTGTTTGGTCGTCGTTCCTTTTTCTTTCGGAAAACTGACTCCTATTCCGAACACTTCTTTTTGTATGAACAAAACGACAGGAGGAGTCTCGTTCTTTGCAGTTGCGTAATTTCAGCGAGTCTCTTTCCAACTCCGCCTCAAACTTTGGGCTGCATCGATCATAACAACTGCAAAACGCCAATTTAAGACTCGCGCTCACCTGTTTATGCAGTTGGATCTAGACTTCTACGAAGATACGTATGGCAAACAAACGGCAACGGAGGTCTGTAAAACAAAGAGCGACAGACATCTTGGAAATATAAGAGAAATAAAGGTCATGGCCTTCTGAAGTCGCCCCATCGAAACTTAGAAAGATGAAATATATAGAAGACAACAGCGAATAGTGATCATACGATGGTCAAAATTCTGAATGCCCTAAAAGGAACCATTAAAACTTTGGTTTGGGCTAGTTGGTCCATGGTAGGTATAAGGTTTAAAAGCGCAAACAGACGGGGGCAATAGAAAATAACACAAAAGACAGGGACACGCCTTGTCCCTGTCGTTTGTGTTATTCTCTATTGACCCCGTCTGTTTGCGGTTTTGAACCTTATAACTAAAAGGAAGTTTGACCTACTCTCATACACATGTTAAAGAAATTGGATTGACCCTTCGAGGTAAGAATTACTGCCGATTTTAACACCGTGAAAAGTAAGTTACTCAAAGGCAATCTAAGAAAACAATTATAAGCTCACTAACGAAACTAACTCGTAACAATAGTAGCCTTACTAGTCGCAATCGGGCTAGTTTTGGAATTATGCTACGGTTCATCTCTGTAAATATCTAATGTTTTAGAATATAACGGTATTGATAGTGCAGTATAAAACGTTTAAGTTTAAGTTGTCACGTGCATCAGCTTTAGGAGCAATCTCGCCAAAACAGAAACGCAGGAAGTCCAAACGCACCGCCCCCGGCGCCACCGCGAACGTCACCAGACGAACCCGTGACGTCACTTCCGGGAAGCGCCGAAGCGTTATTATTCAAAACACCGATACGTGCTGGGGTGCACCGCAGTCACTACTCACCGTTTCCGGCCTTCTCGCACCTGCAAACAAATCGCGAAGCAGCGACACACGCCAAAAAGTCCTTCCCCGGTGCCGCGTCTTCTTCGCCCCCGAAAAGCAGACGACGACGACGACCGCCGCCAGCCAAACTAGAAGCCAGACAAAATGGCGGCTCTTTTCGACGCGAGAGGAAATATAATGTTGGCCGACGAACCCGGCCAGGCTAGCCTCCTCGACAGCCGGCGCGTCCTCTGCACGAGAATAATTTTTAGCCGGCGCAAAAAAAGAATGTTAGCGCGGTCCCGCTCCACCAATCGGGGACCCGGGATCGGGGTCAGCTGACCGGCCCACCCCCACCTCCTCCCCTATTATTTTGGCGAGAGAGAAGCCGGGCGAGGGGGAAACACAAATATCCGGAGTGCGCTGCTCGAGCCGCTTCCCTCTCCCGTTTCCATCTTTGGAACTCTCTCCCTCCTTCTCAACTTCGGACCCACGCTACTACCGCTCTAACACATGGTGGGGGGAGAAAATATTTTTACAGCCGGATTTCTGTGAACGGCCGGCCCGGGTAGTGGCCCGCCTGTCTCTCTCTCTCCCGCGTGGTGCTCTTTCCCTCCCTACTAGCCTGGATCGATGTTGGGGCAATAAACCTGCTTTATTGGTCAGCCGGGGAGGGTCCCCCCACCCTGCTATATTGCAAAAGTCTTCTGTCCGTCGGAAATCCTATTTTTGATTAAAAAGCTCCCCCCCTCCTTCCAATCAACTTTGGCTCTGCGCCATGTTTGTTATTGTGGGCGAGTGTTACGAAACTTGGACGTTTTAATTTCGCGGCCGGTACCGACATTGTTGTCTCTTTGAGTTGAGATGGACAGCACGCGATCTACTTAGTTTTACCTTGAGATCTCTACCCCGAGTATCATAGCAACTACTATGATATCTCTATTTAAAACGTAGCTCCCCCTCCCCCCCCCCCCCCCCCCCCTCTTTCCCATCGATCATATCGTGCAAAAATCTGCGTATTTTAAAATGAAAAATGGATTACCAGTGTTTCGACCGTCTTTGTATTATGCGCCCGAAAATACGAAAACTACATATATATATAAATATGAAAGAAAACAACGTTTCCAGACAGCAATGGCTGTTTTGAAACGTTAAAATTAATTCGTCTCTTTTTGTGTGTGGTCTGTGTGTGCGACTTTCGATTGTTTTTCTTTTTGTTATGAATTCTGCATATTTTTTTCCTTTTTTTTTTTTTACCGCTGAAGTCAAAATTATTGAGAAACCGGCTAATCGAGGTTATGCCAAAAACCAGCGTCAAAATTTTCCTGCGCTCTCGAGTGGGATAACGTCACTTGTTTTATAATTAGGCTCCCGTGTTCTCGGAGTTTATTTCTGTCCAAGTTCAGAGGGTGTTTTTTGGGGTTCATTTTTTTGCCGAAAATGCTGAGTTTATCGGAGTTTCTTTTTGTTTGATCCCCAATTCTCCGAAAATCTGAGTTTAATTTCGCGGTGTTTCTTATTAAAAATAAATAAATATCCAAATGTAAACGTACGCTGGACAAAAAACGAAAAAAAAAAAAAACGCGATTGTATCAATTAATGTTTTCTTCAGTTGTATTTGGCGTTGGTGCCATTACTACTGGCAATACTAAGTTGTCCTACGACCAAATTGCACACAAGTGTTGCTACCATAAATGTCGATTCCTTAAAATCGAGAAACTCCTTGAGGTAGTCGCTGGGAAGCTTATATTCATTCCATACTATTCCATCAACCTGCCGTGCGGCCGCGCGAAGTATAGTGGTAACGGATGTAATAGGGAGTATTCACTGGCGGCCATAGCTGTGTGCGCGAATGCTGAGCGCGTGCTGATGGCGAGCTTCCACAGTTCTTTTACAACGTGCATTCCGCACCATCAAGGGTACCGGTCTTAGCAGCGTATTGATGTGGGCTCGTTCTGAGCAAGCGCTCTAAGCAGCACCCACAAATATCGCTTCCAGTGAATAGTCCTTATAGAGGAGTTTCAACTGTCCCTCTTCCCCACTTCATGCGATCTCTGTGGTTCGCAGCTTTTCCCCAGTGTTACCAAAATACAACCTCTCCTTCCCCTAGAGTACGAATAGTATGACCCAAACTAGAAACATAAACAGTGACGTTTGTCGGGACCCGAAAGTACAATGACCTGATTTGAAACAAAGGTGTGGTGGCATTTTCCCAGGACCATTGACTCTACGCGCTGATCAAACCATTAATTGTAAAGTACTTTTGTGTGTGTGTGGGAGGAGGAGGACGAGGAGGAGGAGATTGGCACATCGAAAATTGGTCTTTATATTGCCCAAAATTTTACCGGCGGGTGTTTTTCGGGGTTTTTCGGGTTTATCCGAAAACACGGAACGCTATTTATAACTTGCCAGTCGAGCAGGCAGTCTGAGAAAACACGGTGTTTTGAGCGTGTTTTTGTTTTGTTTCGGAGGTGTGGCCTTTCCCGCCATTTGTTTCACACCATCACACTTCTTGCAAGCCATCGGGAAAAATAGGCTGTAATGGGCCATTTTAGAAGCAACATCCTGCTGACTCTATTGAGTGGATTTGTACAATATTAAGGAATCAAATGAATTGCATTCCATTACTTTTTTTGTAGTAATTTTATAATTGTCTGATTACATTTATTAAGAAGTCATCGCCATAGGGGTACGATTACATTTGTTAGGAAATACTGAAATTACTTGCAACCTCTACTTTTTTCCCCTCTCATTTCTATTGGCGGCCTTTGTTAAATCATACTCTGACAGGAGTATGATTTACCGAAATTGGTGGATTAAGATTCTGCGTTGTGCATAATTAGGCGATTCTAGTCCGATAATGAACAGTGTAAAAAACCCGTTTTCAAAACCGGCAGAAAAAAAAATCTGTCGTTTCGAAAAATCTCAAGTAACCGTTGAAGTAACGGTTGCTTTTTCAAGTACTTTTCGTCTCGAGTAATTATTATATAATGGAATACTTTTTTAAGTAAGAGTAATTAGAATATGTAATCGATTACCTGTTTAGAGTAACCTGTATAAGGGTGCTTTGCGGAAAGCAAGTCGTCTGCTTCTTGTACAGCAGTTGGCAGGAGTTACAGTGACGTAAGAATGACGCCGAGCTGTGATTGGCTTTGATTGAAAGGATAGTGGGTAGACCTCAATGCTAGATGCCTTCAGGTCTACCCACTATTTCTTTTCAATTAGCCAACAAGACGTCACTGTAACTCCTGAGCAAGGAGCGGAAGCGCAAATGTTGCGCCAAAACTAACCGATATTTTTTTTAAAGCTATTTATTGATGTGATCGTGTCAATGTCAAAGCAGGTTACTCTCTTTTGATGAAAACAGGCGCCAAGTGCCTATTTTCATCTAACGAGAATGATTGTGGTTTATTTCGGACCAGGTAAATAGACGGCGTTCCGTTTCGTTTCGTGGTCTCACGAGCCGTCGAGTGACCGCACGAGGGGAGGACACCGCGCGGGTTGGTTGTTCAAGTTGTCCGTTTCGAACGCGAGGTAAAGTATAAATGCTTTGATTGTTGTTCGGAAATATATACCGTATTTGGACGAATGTGAACAACACGTACAAGGAAAGTCGTGGGTTTATTTCTGTTCCCCGTACCAGTGTCTTCGAAGCACTTGTTTGGGAGCCTTGCTTTGTGCCGTCAGTGCCACAGCTCAGCCAACAACGGCGTGTGGGTGTCATGATCTCCGAAAATGGGGCATAGGACATGGCGCTTTCTCAGATCTACTAAAACATCAGTTCGTCCTTCACTTTTTTTTTCTTCTTTTTTTGAGGGGAGAGGGGGGGGGGGTGCACAGTGCGAAATATGCGCGCTATAAACCGCGTATGCCGTAAAGTCTCGTATGAACACCCGCCCCCGATAAACCACCCATCCCGTTTTTTGGGGCTGAGTACTCCTAACATAAAATTGCGAAACATCAATGACCCCCCCCCCCCCCCCCCCTCGAATCCCGCCGGATATCGATGACGCAATGTCCGACGGGGAATGACGTCTGCGGTATCGGTGCATAGAGTGTTCGCCGCGGGTTCCGCCGTGCTTATCGCAACGTAGCGTGCGAATCTGTAGCGTCCGCAGTCTGCGACATCCATATTCCTGACTCATTCCCACTTTGTTGTCTACATTTTTTTTTTTTTTTTTTTTTGCCCGCGCGATATTGGCTTTTCCGCGCACTTATCGCACCGTGGAACGCGCATTCGCCGTGTCTGCGGTCAGTGAGCATAGAGGTGAGGTAGTGATAGATTATTATGATGTATGAAAACTTAGACTATAGGGGGGGGGGGGGGGGGGGGGATAGTTAACTTTGAAATCGCAGAGGTCGTTTCACGAAACTTGTGAAACTTGTAAAGTGGAGGTATGGGAGGTATGAAAGTTAGTCGCGCTTAAAGCATTAATTGATTAATCGGTAGGTTAATCGATCGAATGCCGAGCACTATAAATAAGCCCCCCCCCCCCCCCCCTCTTCCAAAAAAGGAAAAAGGAAGGGGACAGTTTAGTTTTTGCATTTCTAACATTTGATGTGTACTCCACCCAGCTTGCCTCATAATATTGTTTATTTACAGCAGAGCTGTTAAGGGCTAGTTTCCCCAGCATCTTGTCCGTCAGCAAACAAATGATGACACGAAACTCTGGACAGTAGCTGTCCAGAGTTTCGTGATAGCCATCTATATATATATATATATGAGCGACGGCGGCAACCAGACAATCGGATTGCCGGTTGTCTGGTTGACGCCGTCGCTCGTAGATGGCGCGACCTTTCCACCCTTTCCCCTCTGGCTTGCCGGCTTGCGGCGGGCCCTTACTTCATTTCCACCATAGTACAGCTTGGCTAATCTACCTCCTTCACAAAAACAAAAAACAACAACTATACCTCTTTTTTTTTTATGCATTAGGCATTGATAGTTTTATTTGGCACTCGCGGCGCGGTTTGAAGAACGCCTCTAGTTGTACCGGCGTATTCAGTAAGCGAAGAGTCTGCGGACTGTCTGGCAATATTCCCCCTGAGCTTCATTTGTTTAATAAGAGTACATGCGTGATGTCCTTTGCCCATGTCTGTATCGTTAGCCCAAAGAGGGACTTCTCCATACTTCTCCACTTTTTCTTGCTGTTGGGAATGAACTCGTCGCTTGGATGCTGACTGACTTTCTCTGTAAAATCGTTGAGTTTATTTGCAAGGCTTTTGAGTGCATTCTTCGCGGTAGTCCGAAGACTTGGGCTGCGGCATGAGTACACTGG